ATAAAATAAACTGGAAAAAGAAATGTTAAGAAAGTCAGAAGGAAAACACATTTCCAGCACCGCACTGTATTTGCCGCATACAGCTGACACCTTGTCGCTCACAAGTCAAGTGCACGCTAACATGCAGCGGCTGTGTTGAAGTGGTGGGATTATGGGTAAGTTCTCCATTTATAAAATGTTCGAACTTGCAGTTACATTCTCATACAACAACATTCTCCTCCAAAAGCCAATTCTCATACAACAGTGCAATTTTACTGGTTTGATTACAACTCACTCGTAAGACTTGTGGTAAGCAAACTGTACCAGCACAAATCAGTTAGGAAAGATCCTCAGGAGACCCATGTAAACGGACATCTCGGAGACAGTACCTAACCCACAAGTCTCTCCAGTCCATACCAAGCTTCCCTGGAATTAATGAGGCATCACATAATTTCCCCTCACCTCTGCTGAGCACACAACCTCCAAACTGGTCAGGAGTCCTCGAAAACCCCCACTGAACACCTGCTCCACAGGCAGAAACAGCCAGTGTGCTCCCCTCCAGCAACCCAGCCAACAGAAAACGTGAAGTGTGGCATCAGAGTCCCCTGTAGGTCAAACGACTGACAGAACATGCATCTCAGGCCATCCTGGGCCCCCAGCGCTACAAGATATTTTAATCCTGACTATTTTAACAAAGAGCCTCTACCCGTGAAGTCTGGTTATGGTTTTTGAGTGATTCTATAATAAAAACACACAGACAGCAAAAACACTGCAGTTCTTCAGAGGGTAACAGGCTCAAGAGTCACGGTCTCCACATACCCTGGGGTCCAGGCATCCCCCTGCGCCTCCCGCCGGCCCTGCTCACAGGCCACCCCTTCAGCCTCTGCCCAGCAAGTGGGACGGACAAACATCTCGTTTTTGTGTTGCCTTTTTCTTAGGAAGGAAAAAATAATACCAAAACAGAATTCCCCCACCCGGAACACATCACTTTCTTGCTAACCACAAATTCTGGCAAAATCTGTTCTACACAATAGCGATTCAGTCAGTTCCTCTTTCTTCAAATTGACACATTTTTACCTTGCAAATTGTGTATATCTATATGAGAGAGAGTTTAAAGACCAATAAAGCAAACTTAAATAGTATTTTCACAGCTATCATTATCAAATTAAAATGTGATATTATCCTTAAAAAAACTTAACAGTAAAAATTCTTTTGAATCATTTAAGCCTTTTCTACACAGCAGATCTTACTCTAGATCCTGGGAGGTAAAGAAAAATAATAATTTCTGCCTACTGAGAGTTTACAATCAAAATGTGCATAGTGATGGAGAGGAGGATGGACAGGAAGTTTTTTCCTGAATGCAAACATCACTTTGAGGTATAATTTAACCCAAACGCATACATCTTACGTGACAGCTCAATGAATTCTGATGAATGTACACCCAGAGAAAAAGCAGGCAAGGGGTGGTGGCTGGGGCCGAGAGACCAAGGAAATCGCCCAGGCATGCAGAGAAGGTGGGGGCCCCTGTGCAGGAGCTCGGATGATGAGCAGAGCTCAGCCGTAACCCCAGAGAAAACCAGGAGACAATGGCTTGGAGCTTCCTAACCAGATGGAATGTATGGAATGCCATCAAGTTAGCCACTCCAACAGAAGTGAAGCTGATTCTCCCATGTTCTAAAGCCAAGTTTAGGTCCATCGGATTGCAGAAAGTGGGGCCATGATACACAGCGGTCGTTTGTGTGTATTTTTATCAGGGTTATGATGCAACCTCAAAAACTCAAATTACATAGTCAAGCATATATCACGTTCATCCCTTGCCATTCTTACTCTACGTCCCAACTGCTGAGCTTTAGAACCTCAAAACAGGACCTGAAATACAATCTCATCCTGCACAGAGAACAGGATGTTCTCACTGGATATTGTGATAGTAATAATTTTAACATAAAATCCCCAAAGGGTCTATGTTCAAAACGAAAAAAGAAACGCAACAAATCTATAAGGAAAAAGACACACTCCTAAGAAAATGGGCAAGAGATATGAACGGTGAGTCAGTTCAGAGGCCACACAAGATGAAACTATGACAAGAAACTAAACTCCACTAATACTAGAGGAAATGAAGTCCAAACAAAAATGAAACACTTTCTGAACGTTTGTAAGTCTGAAGAGAGTTTATAAGAATGGTAGTTAACATCCAGGAGGTTATGAGGAAATGATGTTCTTAATAGGGCACTCGACAGTCATAGGAATAAACTGGTAGGAGTCCCCACAGAGGCTAAGGTGTGGGTGTCTGCTAAAACAAAAGACATGTACACCCAGAAACCAGCGATGCGAGCCCCAGGGCAGCTACTTGTACTAGGCACAGCAACACGCCCTCCCCCACAAAGCGGTCCACAACCTAAGCCCTGGAAACTGAATTTGTTGTTTCCACAGTAAAGGGGAACTAAGGTAGCAGATGGAATTCAGGTGGCCAACCGGTGGACCTTTAAATAGGCCATGGGTTGTGGATTATCCAGGTGGGGCCAGTGTAGTCCAAGGGTCCTCAAAAGTGGAAGAAGTAGACAAGAAAAGGGGAACCAAAGAAACGACAGCATGAGAAAGACGTGGCCCATGGTTGCTGGAGAAAGGGGACCATCATCAGCCAAGGAATGTGGGAGGCGTCTGCAAGCTAGAAAGGCCAGAAAATGGATTTTCCCCTAGGGCCTCCAGAAGGAACGCAGCCCGGCCCACACCTGATAACTAGCTCAGGGAAACCTATTCTGGACTACTGACCTCCATCCAGATCTGTGAGACGATAAATTTGTGTTGTTTAAGCCACCACGTTTGTAGTCATTTGCTACAGCAGCGGCAGAAAACTAATACACTGCCCTAGGGGAACACGGGCACATGTGTGCGAGGAGGCACACGTTTCCTAAGTACGTATACATAAAAATATAAAAACAGGACAGAGAATCCACCCCAAACCAATAACAATGTCACCTCTGGTAAAAAGAGGGTTATGGCAATCAATGTGAGACTTTCACTTAATTGATAATGTTTTACCATTTTTTAAAGAAAACGTGTTTGTCCACGTATTGCTTAATTGAAAGTTAAATTTTTAGGGAGTTACCATTCACAGATTAAGCTGCAAAGCATTAGAATATGATTCTTAATGCTGAAAACCAGGGAACACAATTTTCTCTGACAATCCCAAAGGCACTACAAAGACCTAGACCTCACAGCCCCCACAATTAATACGAGTGGGTTCTACCTGTGTAGACAGAATACCAGAGAAGAGAAACTTCATTCTATATCCATAAGCAAAAACACTTCAACAAATCCAAATCAGCCTTGGCTCAAGTGTGAAATAGACATTTATGGTCTACAGACAAGATTCAGTCTCAAAACCTTAGGTTTTCTGATTCCAACCCACCCAACCATGACTCCCACCTGGACATGCCTCCTTGATACTTGCCCACTTTGGGCAAGTCACTTGCCTCTGTCTTTTATCTATCCCAGCGTAAAAAACGTTTGTTCTCAGGCACCTGGGTGGCTCAGTCAGTTAAGCGTCTGCCTTCCGCTTAGGTCATGATCCCGAGGTCCTGGGACTGAGTCCGGCATCATCGGGGTCCCTGCTCTGCGAGGAGTCTGCTTCTCCCTCTGCCCCTCACCCCGCTCGTTTTCTCTCTCTCAAATAAAATCTTAAAAAAAAAAAGTTTGTTCTACCACGTCACCTGCCTCATAGGATAGTCAAAAGGTTTTAAAGGGAATGAAATGACAGGCTACATACCAACAGTCAGTGAACCCCACTTTGAGACTCACCCCGCTATAAAACAGCACTCCGTAAACAGAGATGCTCCACTGTCCGCATGGTGAGCACACCTAATAAAATCACCACGACCCCAAAGAAGGGCAACTACCATGGTTATTCCCAGCGAAGTCACAGGGAAAGCAAGCTTGAGAGCTGGTGCCATCCGTAAATAGCGGCCAGTGGGTGAGTCCTGCATGACACATCCAACCGCAGTACCCATGCGTGCAAAGAGACCCCCGAGCCACCACCACATCCAGCAACTGTGAACTGCTTCACAATCCGAGCGGAAATAAGCAAATGACAGCCTCTCATCCCCAAGAGTGACCAGCCAAGGGGTCCAGGCTGGGGCCCTGGTATCGGTGAGGCCAACTGCCCACGCTGGGCTCAAACATGTGACCTCGAGAACACAATGTTCTAATCAACAGCAAGAGCCATCACATGCTTCCCCTTACACCGCTACAAATGAAATGAAAAATAACTAAAAACCAATTCTGGAGATGGGGGACTTCTTTCTAGACGCAGACTCACCCAGGAGCCTTTGTATCCATGAGTCTAGTCCAATGCCCCCCGCCCCGCAGCTTCCTTGCCACTCCCCTCCCTTCCCTCCCTAATGAATAAACACTCTGGGAGCCCTCCAGAACTCACACTGTAAGCACAGCCCCCTGGGGACACCTCGCCAGAACCCCCCAGGCGGAGTCCCTCAGCCTTGTGCCCGTCCCCGACCCGCGCCCAGCAGCAGCAGTAACTCCTACCAACTCTGCCCTACAACTGTTCTCCAGTTGAGGGAACTTTTCAAGGGGGAGCATCCTAGAAAAGCCAAGCCTCGCGCACGCTTTTCCGTGCTTACGCTCATCCACTTAGGGCAGAAGCACTGAGAGCGAAGTTATGTCGAGTCTACGGATGAGAACTCACAAGTCCTGGACCGCGCAATTTCTTGTCCGAGCCCCGCAAGTCCGGCGGCTGCACCCCACGCTGCCGGCCGGGGCGGCAGCGCGAGGAGAGGGGTGCGTGCACCGGGGGGACGGCCCTCCGCCCCGAGGGGCCTGCACAGGGAGGCGCGGCCAGGACAAACCTGAACAGGTGCTCGGGTCCCCGGGCCCGCGGCGCGCTCGTCAGCGTGGCAGGGGCGCGCGGGGCGCCAGAGGGCAGCCAAGGAGCCGAGGGCTGCGGGGTCACAGGGTGGGGGCCGCGGAGCCGGGGCCGCGCGCGGGAGCAGGGGGACCGCCAGCCATACCTGCCGCGGGCGGGTCCGCCTCCTCGTCAGCCTCCGCCTCAGCTGCCGCCGCGACTGGCGCCGCGCCTGCCTCCCCCGACAGCCGGTCCATCACGCCGCCAGTCATGTGAGCGCGCGCCACGTGACTTCCTCCGCGCCGGCCGGCCCGCCTCGCCACGCCCACCTCGGCACGCCCCGCCCGGGCCCGGCCCGGTCACGCCCTCGGCACGCCCCTTGCCCGGCCTCGGCACGCCTACCCAGGGCCTGCCACGCCCCTTGCCTGACCTCACCACGCCCACCCCAGGCCTGGCACGCCCCTTGTCCGGCCTCGCCCCGCCCCACCCCGGCCACGCGGCCACCGGAGGACGGGCCCGCGCTCCCCCGCGCGCTCCCGCTCCCCGCCTCGGGCTCGCAGCCTGCGCAGCTCGCCCACTCATGCAGCAGCTCGCTCGGCCGCTTGTCGTCACACTCACCCCCTTGTCCGCTTACTCGGACTTCCGCGTGGGCCGCACCCCGCCCCCGCACTCTGCCCTACAAGTCCCTCGCTCACTTCTCAGCCTTCGCCCTTGGCTGTCGCCCCGCCCCTCGCTGACGCACCCACCCTCCACTCACTCATTTGTTCCCCACTCGCATTCATGCATTCATCCACCCTCCCCACCCCCGCTCACTCACTCACCCCCTCACTGCCTCGCTCATTCACTCATCCGTCCACCCCCTCACTCATCCTCTCCCTCGCTCGCGCACTCATTCATCCCCCCCTTGCGTACTCATTCATCCCCCCCTTGCTCACTCACCCCCTCACTGGCTCGCTCATTCACTCATCCGTCCACCCCCTCACTCACCCACCCCCTCACTCATCCTCTCCCTCGCTCGCGCACTCATTCATCAGTCCCCCCACTTGCTCACTCACCCCCTCACTGGCTCGCTCATTCACTCATCCGTCCAGCCCCTCACTCACCCACCCCCTCACTCATCCTCTCCCTCGCTCGCGCACTCATTCATCAGCCCCCCCACTTGCTCACTCACTCACCCACACACTCGTTCACCCCTCGCTGGCTGACTTGCTCATTCATTCATCCATCCACCACTGGCTCACCTGCTCTCTCGCACACCCGCCTTCCCCGATCACCCCCCACACACTGCCCCTCCCCGCCCAGGGGGCAGGCTGCCCAGTGCCGGGAGCTGAGGATACCTGGGTGCATTAGGTGCCTCCCCCAATCTGGAGGACGGAACACCAGAGCAAGTGTCCTGGCTGTTCCAAAGTGAGGCTGTGGGGGCTCGGGGAAGGGATGAAGGGACCCCTGGGTGGGGCGGAGCCTGAGCTGATGCCGGGGATGAGGAGTTAAGCACGGGAGGAGGCAGCGGCCTCTGGTAGGCACAAAGTCTCTGAGGCATCAAGCAGCTGCAGACACTGCGGTCCTCCTGGAGCTGAAAGTGTGGGTGCAGAAATGGCAGAAGAGGAAGCTGGGGCACCAGGAAGGGCTCCATCCGGGAGGGCCTCCTTTCCAAAGCAAGGAGCTGGGAACTCCTGATTCTGATGCCTACGAACACCCGCTGGGAGCTGGTTACAGCAATCAGGAGCCCAGACCCCAGTCTGGGTTCTCCCCCAGGAAGTCCTTCTCCTTGCTACAGCTACTGGACCCTGACCAGGTTACCCATGACCACACCCAGGACGTCCCTGCGAGCTGACACAGTCAGAGACGCTCTCCCCCACCATAACCCAGCAAGTGCTGGTCCCTGCTACTCACGGGCTTCCCCAAGTCACAGGGGGACACTGCAGATCCTGTGATACACAGCCCCCCTCCAATGCTGCTTCCTTCCGCCCCCTGGCCTTCCTTTCAGCTGCTCTTGCCTCAACTGATATGCTCAGCACTTTCCCTGACTCCACATCTCTCTACCCCCCAGACACACACACACTCTCTGCTAACATCCCTGTATTAGTCAGCACGTATCTCTGTCCCTCACCAGAGGCTACGGTCTTTACCAAATGTCTAAAAGTTCACTGCATTTTCCAGAAACTGTAAAGCACTATATGAGTGCACAGACATTATTCAACAATGATAACATGAATGTATTATTTTAACACCCCTGACACAACCTCTAGCTCAGCGGTTCTGGATCTTTGCTGCACTTTCCAATCACCTGGGGAGAGTTCGAATATACTCAGCCTGGAGCTCACCCCCAGAAGTTCTGATTTAATTCATCTGGGATGTGGCCCAGACTTGGAATTTTTTATTTTTTAAAGCTCCCCAGATGATTCTAATGTGCAGCCCAGGTTGAAAGTTTTATTCCTGCAAACATTGCCTGAGCATTTCCTAGGTACCGAATTTTGGGGCGGAGGGGGTCCCAAGGATACAACAGGATTCTCACAGCAGAGCAAAGAAGCTGTTAGGGCTGGAAACAAAGGTGTGTGGGAGGAAAGGGGAACAAGCCGTGGGTTCTGACATGACCAGTTCAGAAGAATGCCTCCAGAAAAGGGAACTCGGTCCTTACAGGTTGTGGGCCCCATTGTCAGATATCTCCAGGTTAGAAAGTTCTAGGGAACATGGACTGAAATGTGTCTGCCTGCAACTTCTTTAGATCCTCACCAAAGAAGACTGATCCTTATACCATTTCTGTTTCATTCGGGGAACAGCAAACAGAAAACCAGAATTTCTGACTTTTAAAACCTTTCGATTAATGGCAAGAATCCAATTATATTAAGACTGTTCATCCATTGCTCCAGTCACACTGGCCGCTTTCCATTTAGGAAACTGAGAACTACAGGGGCGCCTGGGTGGCTCAGTTGGTTGGGCGACTGCCTTCGGCTCGGGTCATGATCCTGGAGTCCCGGGATCGAGTCCCACATCGGGGTCCCTGCTCAGCAGGGCGTCTGCTTCTCCCTCTGACCCTCTTCCCTCTCGTGCTCTCTATCTCTCATTCTCTCTCTCTCTCAAATAAATAAATAAAATCTTTAAAAAGAAAAACTGAGAACTACAGAGGCAAACTGACGATTTGGAACACACAGCGGAGTCGGGACTCAGGACTTCACGACGCAGGTGGACACGCAGAAAGGGGCTGTTATCAGCTGTCCTACCAAAATGCGAGGATTTCCACGTCCTGCTCGGGAGCTTTCAAAAGAGTTGTTAAAATGCTTTGAGTACTGTATCCTCGACTATCAATCTAGTTGACGTGGATTTGTCGGGATAAGCGATATCATGCTGTGGTATTTCCAAGACCTGAAATAACAAGGGGATTATGCCCACCACGGTCACTCGGAAACCCAGGACGTTGGAGTGGCCACCGTCAGGGATTTCTGCCACGGTGACAGAGGGAAAGTGCCCTGGAGGGTCCAGCGTGAACACTGAAATGCTCTGGCCCAGAAGTGACACAACACTCCACTCACAACTCCTTGGCCAGAACTGGTGACGTGGAGGGTTGACACCACCATGTGCCTGGAGGATAGAAAGCCAGAAATATTTTGCAAACAGCCGTCAATACTAGCCACACTAACCAAACTAGCATTTACTGAATGCCTACCTACTATGTACCAAGCACTTTTCTACGGGCTTTTTATTTGGAGACTCCCCGAAGCCCCGCAATAAATCTACGAAACAGTAGCACGATTGTCTCCGTTTTCCAGACAACTAAGGCAGAAAAGTCCAACACACTGAGATGGCAGAGCCAGTCCACAGAAGAGCCGGGATTTGAACCCAGGCTGTCTGGTGCTGGAGACCACCCTCACAGCCCCTGTGGCATTACCCGATGCCAAAGAGCCAGCAGTTGCTCCTCAACACTCTCACTATGGAAATTCCGCTCCCCCCCAGAACCTCTTGTTTGAGGAGGTTTGGGGCACCAGCCTATAAATCATACTGGGGGGAAGGCGAAGGACTCTGAAGGCAGGGAAAATGGTAACAACAGCCCCCAAACATTTATTAAACCCGAATACGTGACAGGCACTGTGCCAAGTGCTGAACGAATATCATCTCAATACTGTGAAGGTCACGAAATCAAATCCTCCAGGGGCACTTGGGTGGCTCAGCTGGTTGAGCATCCCACTCTTGATTTGGGCTCAGGTCATGATCTCAGGGTCGTGAGATGAGTCCCACATCGGGCTCTGTGCTCAGCGCAGAGTCTGCGTATCCATCTCCCTCGGCTCCTCCTCCTTTCTCTCTCTCGCCCTCAAATAAATAAATAAAATCTTTAAAAAAAAAAAATCAAATCCTCCTGTGATGCTATAGGATACCTTCTCAAGCACCCACCCTAAAATTCCCACCTGAAGTAAAGAGATTTGCTCACATACTCCATGAGCCCTGGGAAGGTTTAAATATCTCAAAAATGTTGGGGTCTCCTCGTTGGACTTCGGACAAGCTACTTAACTCTCTTTCGCTTCCGTATGCTCATGTGTAAAGTGGAAATATCAACATTACTTTATTTCAAAGGTTTGTTCCTCAAAGGGTAAGGTTTAAATAAGAGACTTGTTCTGTTAGTCTGATGCAGAAGTACATTCACCCTCCTTCCCCAAACATACAGACGTCTGGCTAAAATTGCCCACTTCCCAAGATGTTTTTTTTTTTTTTTTAAAGATTTTATTTATTTGTCAGAGAGTGAGAGTGCAAGTGCAGAAGCGGGGGGAGCAGCAGAGGGAGAGGGAGAAGCAGGCTCCCCACAGAGCAGGGAGCCCGATGTGGGACTCGATCCCGGGACTCCAGGATCGTGACCCGAGCCGAAGGCAGACACTTAACCAACTGAGCCACCCAGGCGCCCCTCCCAAGATGTTTTTAATATATGGCTGGTGTCGAAAGCAAGAAAGCGTACCAGATACAGGAAGGACTTTAAGTTATAGCAATGAACGAAAGCGGAGGCCAAACGACCCCACAGAGCTTTCAGACGTGATCACAACCTTAGGAGCCTGGGTTCGATGGCAGAAGAGCGAGGCGTGGGCCCCAGTGAGGCTGGGATGTGGACCGAACTTCCCAGTGAAGATCAGGACTGACGAGGAGCTAAGCTGCCCACCTTTAGAAGCAGTATGGGAGCTGGCTGTCCGCACCAGACCGGGAGTGCAAAAGGGATGGCCCTGGAGGCGACCCCACTCCTAGATATTTACCCAAGGGAAATAAAACCATACGCCCACCAAAAGAGGCTCATTCCTCGAAAGCTCA